TTAGATGTGCCCCTGCTCCAATGCAGATTTAGATTCAGAAAACTATTAATCCTAAAAAGCAATTCAATTAAAGTTGGGCCCATTCATTACAGGAAATAAATTCTACACAGCTGAATTAATGGCTGAATAACATCCTCGGAGTATGATCAAATTCTGCAGGGGCCTGGTAATGAACCATTGATTATATTCAGGTGTGTTGAACCAGGGGAAGATCTAAATGGCTGGAGTTGAACACCATTGAGCTACAACATTTCATTGCACCTTTGGGGTTATTATCCAGCATTAGCCTGTTCTTGGTTTCATCCACTGAACAGTTTTCTTAGTTTAGTTTGTGGAAAAAAATCAGATCTTTTTTTTTTTTTTATCATTCTTCAAAACTGTAATGTTCTTCATTGATCTATTATGTCAGTATGAGAAATTGTTTGAAGTACATTGGCAAGATTTATATAAAACTACATATTTTTACTCTGTGAGGCTATAAAACAAACAAGTTAAAATTATAGAAATATTTCTGCATCTTCACAGTTGGATGGGTAATTTTTATTTTATTTTATTATCATAAAATCAGTAACTGTTTCATGCTTACTGTAGTTTAAACTAATGAAGGATAAACAGTTTGAGCAAAGGCATAGAACACCATCAGACAGATTCTACCACCATCTCTCTGATCTACTAGATCCATTTTAATCCTTCACAATCTGCTACAATCCCACCACCCATCCCTACTTTACGATACAAAATGGAAACGTATTGAAATTACAAACTGTGTGGAAATAATTTTTTTCAGTAAGTGAGCCACTCCCCAATGTACAAAAATATTTTTATTATGACTGCTAAGGTGCATCTTGAAAAACAATCTGCATGCCTGTTTGTCTCAGGTTGATTTTGGAGTTCGAGTTGAGGACCAAGGAGCTTTCTGGTCTTGTGCTCTACATGGCAAGAATAAACCATGCAGATTTTGTCTCTATACAGGTATGGCTGCTTTGTACTCTCATAAATGCTCATTTGATTCCTCATTAACTCAATCAGAACAGTCCTAATTGCACTGACAACATAATCAATCACCCTTTCAGTGTTAGACATTAGACATCTCTTATGTCTACTAACTTTATCAATCTCTGCTTATAGATCAAGGAGGGACAAGCCTGTCTTGGATTTGATCTTGGTCATGGAAACATCTCTGACTGTGTTCCTTTCTCTATTAATGATGGTAACTGGCACAAGGTAAAAGCCCTGCTTTATTACTATATTATAATAGATTGCTGTAAAATCTAAGAACTGAAAATCCTGGAGTGAGGTTTCTCAGCCTTTCCCAGAATACAGGAAAAACAATTTCAACTTGGATATACATCTAATGTAGTTTAAATATTTAATATCAATTTCTGTAATGCATTCCCATAAATGTAATATAACCAGATGCTCTTATTAGCCGTATAAAGTTGTTTCAATGCGTCTTTGCACTTTTAAAAGACTTTATCCTAACGGTTTTAAATCTGAATTTGGGAACTATACAGAACGTCTGATTTACATCTGACTTCTCCCTGAAACTGTCCTGTCAGATCCGTGTGCAGCGCACCAAGCAGAGAGGTGTGCTAGTAGTTGAGGGTCGATACATGAAACAGATGTTCAGTCCAAAAACGGTAAGCAGTCTTTCACAGAAGAAAGGTAGATACACATTACTGCATGAAATCAAGCCATCTTAATACAATTAATGATTTCCTTTTTACCAGGCGGACCTTTTAGATGTGGTTGGAAAGGTGTATGTTGGTGGATTACCGCAGAACTACACCACCAAGAGAATCGGCCCAGTAAGGACTTACTGTTTATACAACAGAGAAATAAGTGCAATTCAGGAAAAACACTCTTAAATTTTCTATCCTCAGATTCTCTATAGCATCAATGGATGCATCCGTAACTTTACGATGGGTGGAAGTCCAGTGAGCACCAAGTCAGCTGTAACCGGTATGGACTAATGCATATTTTTCTTCATACACTTTATCTATGAATTTGTGAAACTGTTGTATTAAACATATTTCACGGCTTCCTCCCTTTGCAGGTCGTACTGAAGTGGTTAGTGAGGACTTTAAACTGGACATGGCTGCACCGACCTCCAGTTACATGGTTGGAAGGTGTTTCGTATCAACGGAAACGGGAACCTATTTTGACGGCACTGGCCATCTGAAAGCTGGTGAGTTCACTCAGGTCGCTTCAATAAAACTTAGTCATTAAGTTGCTGGATTGAAACAATTCATCTGGTTTATTAAAAAAAACAAAACATAATGGAAGTTATTTCTTTCCATTCAGTTTCCTCCTATCGGGTGGGTCTGGATGTGTCGATTGCATTCGAGTTTCGAACCAGCAAGACCAGCGGAGTCCTTTTGGCAGTCAGTAACCAAGCCAATGATGGACTCGGTTTGGAGATCGTCGATGGCAAGGTAGTGTCAAGATCCTGTAAAACGCAGATTAAATTATGTTTTCTTTGAATACATGTAAAGAAGATTTAAAAGCTGTGAAATAAATGCTAGCCAGAAAAACCTAATAGCATCCCATTTGTGGAAGGCTAACAGATTTATACTTTGACTATGTGTATTCATTGGACCCGTTGTCGGGCTCCGACCACTCTTACTTCTTCACTTTAACGTAAAATCACACATGCCAACAATTTCTGTATGCGAAAGACTACAGCTGACTGATATTTTAACATGGCAACCATCTCAGACAGAAATATACGGATTTCGGCTGCTGAAATTTATACTAACCTTCCCGATTCCCCAATTTTCCTTTCGTTTAGCTCCTTTTCCATGTCGACAACGGAGCTGGCCGAATCACTGCAAAGCATGTGCCTGAAGGCAGGAGCTTCTGTGATGGCCAGTGGCACAACATCACTGCCAACAAGCTTCGCCACCGGCTGGAGCTGGTGGTGGATGGAGTAAAGAGCCAAGCGCAGTCTCCCAACGCTCGCTCCAACACCTGTGATACCAATGATCCCATCTATGTTGGAGGATATCCTGGTATGGCAGCTTCCTAAAAGCAACTCAGTAAAGATGCCAACATTTCTAATGTACTTAACTTACCTGAACACATTCTCCCTAGCTGGAGTTCGCCAGGCAGCTCTTTCCACCCGCTCATCCTTCAGAGGTTGTATGAAGAACCTGAAGATCACTAAGGCATCCAAGACCATGGATGTGCAGTTCAACAAGGCCCTGGAGATTAAAGGAGTCCAGCCACTGTCCTGTCCTGCCAGAGCTGCCCAACACTACCCTAATCCTATAAACTAGTTTCAACAATGAAAGGGAAACGCAGTCTGAACAGCCCCGCAGCCAACTTCATGCTTTAAAGAACCAAAAGCTGTTCAACCTCCAATAGATCTATAATTATGTTTTAAGTCCCACAAGCATTTATCCTATGCATCATTTCTATTGGCATCAGGATCCTTGTTACAATTTGCAGTATTAGGGGTGAAAATCCACACTTTGAAATACGCCATGTTGCTTAGTCAGATTATATGAATGTTTTGCGTCTCTTTACTTGAACTGTTATTTGCATATCAGTATTTGATTCCTCATACAAACAGAACTTCTAAAGATTGATCATGGATGAGTTTTTCATCATAATAATGACGCAAGACATCCATATGGTGAGATTAGAAAATATGTAAGTTAACTGGAACTTAGTTGCTTGGATTTCATGGCTATAGAAAAAAATTGAGTGCTTCCCAGAAAACATTTTTCCACAAAATCTTTGATTGTTCCTGTCTGTGAAAGAAAAAACATGCATGGCTTTAAGAATGTTTTACCAATAAAATCAGAAAACTTGGGTTTGTTAACTTTAAATAAAGGAGTGCCACTAATCGCCTTCCGAAATAACTTATTCTTAAAACTCTAGTGTGTAATTTAATTACAAAGTAGAAGTCATATATGAACAAAAAGCGTCATGAAAACCAAGAAACACAGCGACAGAGACGAGAAGATTATAAATGAAAACTGTGTTTAGTCTGAAAAAGAAAAGTGCGACTCAAATGCAAACCTAGACGGGCAAAGAGAGAAACAATCAGAAGCTATAAGAGGCCTCAGGTAACTTCATGCCACAATTCAGGTCTTTACTGAAGAGTATCATAAAGTAACTGCTTGGAGACAGCAAGCATAAAATTGGTGGCGGTGTTAAAGTCCTAAACCTGTGGGAGAACTGACTCAACAAATGGTCTACCTCAATGTCCTAGTCAACATTGAGATCCAAATCAATGGCAAGATTCAAAACTTGTAGTTCATTGATAATATATATAATGATTGGGATTGAGCCATTTTGCAAAGACTGGAGCAAAGCATTCAGTGCCTAGATGTGCAAAGTCCATATAGACAGCTGTTGCAAAACAGTGTTTATACAGAGATTTGTCAGGCTTTCACAGAAATGCCTAAAATACAGCTAGATATCTGCAACTCTAACTTGACAAAATGTGCAAAAGCAGTATGTACTCCTTTTATAAGACAGTACATATAAAAAGTATGGGAATTTCTATACTAGTTAGCCAATCAATAGTTGGTGTGACCAAGCCTCACCTGCTATGTGTGTGGAAATTGCTCAGTCTCCATCCAACTTGTTTCCCACTCATGGGAGGCCTGGACAGAGTGAGAGTCCGTCTACCTGAACAGGATGAAGCAGATTTACTGATTCACAGAAAAACAGTCAGACCTCCAACAGCCTTGTGTTAAAAATGATCGACTCGTCACCTATATACAGGTGATAACATTAAATGACATTTAATATTCCTAAATCTTGCATAACATTGAAGTTGCAATTTTTACATTCGTTACCCTAGTAACAAAAAACCTTGACTTTTACCTGCACTTGCAGGTCAAATGCAGCAGAGGGCAGTATGTACCTTCTGCAAAAGCAAAGCATAGACTATAGTCGAAAACCAAACACTTACCGCTATATTTACATGGATACTCCAATGAATTAGTATCTGGAACAATTAAAGAAGGTTTCAAAATCCATCTTCATTGTGCATTCCTGTTTATTATCATGGTCCTCTTTACATCGGATGAAAAGATGGTAAGACATCAGCCCACAGATTTTCACTGCGGCTGCTCGAAGTGGAATGTTTAGAAGACAGAAGAAAGCATACAATCTATCCACAGAACTGGTTTACAGTAGCACGGCTGTTTGAGCTTCTGGATGCTTTTAAACTGACAAGTAAGCACTGATGCACCTGTGAATGAATAGATGTGTGGTTTCAATACTGGGCTTTTAGTACACATCTGTATTAAAAGTGTGCAAAGTTTAATTATGCAAGGAATAGAACTTTTCAAGGTGTAGGTAAGCATTTTCATTCCTCAGCTTCTATGAAACCTTCAGACAGTTTGAACCATGAGTCGTCAGTCACTGCTCAACTAGGCCAGATAATTGGAAAAATTAAGATTCCTCAATAATGCCAATAAAATATTCTTTTGGGTGTGTAAGAAAATTACAAAATACCTTAAACCCTTAACTAGGGCATTTAATTTTTGATTTTTTGTTAATTTAAGACCTCACTGCACTGCCTGGGTTCACGCTGCATCGACTGGTATGGGAAACATTTTACTCCATGAAAGGTGAGTAGGTGGAAAAGTTGTCAAAAGTCTAAAAACACTAGAGGGGAAAAAAAAGGCAAAGTCTTTTGACTTTCATCCATTAAAACCTCTGTGTCCAGTTCACTTAACATAAGGAGGAATGTTTTGGGTTTTAATTGGTCATTTGAACTGTTCAGGACTGAAGGATTACAGGACACAACTTCAGTGAAGAACTAGATGCACAGGTTAGGAAGAGATTTAATCCACACAAAATCAAAGTTATAGGCTCAAATAAGCATCTACATACACCACCAACAGGCTTCTGTCATATCTCTGACTGATTTTTAATCACTACTTCCAGAATTGGTAGAACTCATAGAAACAGGTTAATTTCCCAGCACATCTGTACACCGAGTCTGCAAAGTTTGCTCATCACAACTGTTTTGGTGTGCCTTTTGGGATAGTTTGTGGATTATACTTAAAAGTTAAGTCTGTGCACAGAAACCAACAAATTCAAATGAACTCTGCCATGAGGAGCAGTCAAATATCCAGGCAGAAATGTGCCTGACATTACAAACTTGCTGTTGGACATAAAACCAACAGCATGGGTGGGACTGTATGCTTAATGTAAGCCTGCATGTATATTTTTGATACTGCGTGGATTAAAAAAAGATAGAACCAGTTCAATTTACGAACGTGAGTCTTTTAAATATATACTTACCGTTTGATGCATCATTCCATCCCTTGAAAAAATAAATCCTTAAAAGCCAGAAATGTGTCACTTATGGGAATGAGAAGATTTAAACTGCTGACTGAAACTGTATGCAGATTAACTCGGTGCATAATCTGGTCCTGCTTTACAGTCAGCCATGTATATGCTGCTGCAGCAGCATACAGTATATGGAAGGGATGGACATCAAGGAGAAATACTGCTTCATATAACTGGTAATTAGTTTTGTTATAATGAATCTCTCTACTTGGTATCAGAGGGTAAAAACAACAGCTGCTAGTTAAAAAAGGGTCCACCCTAAGTATATTACAAAATGCATTTTTACGACCAACATGGAGGCAATTATGATTCTTAAAACCGTTAAAATAATGGCAACCAGTATTGGCGTGTCCTTTGCTTAAATTAGGAGCAGGACGCATTTTGAAATTTCTACTTTTTGTTCCATAGTCGAGGAAACGATCACTAAAGTTTTTCAGCGTTTAGTAGCATGTTGATGCACTACTATACCGGTCGTCGTTTTCAAGTGTTGATTACTGTAAACCCGTCATTCCACTTTCCCTTTTTATATCCTAGTGAGATAAAACACCAAGCTACAGCGAAAATCTAAGTCTCGTTTCAACATCAGTCAAAGCATTTGAGCATTCCACGTAAATATCACAGACAGGTAAAGCATTAACCTCTTCAGCTACCATGATAAAATGAGTGTAGTCAGAGAAAAATCGCAGAGTCTTGTTCGACACAAGCTTCTGAACAGAAACCTCCAAAGCAGAGTCGCTGTAAATCGTCTATATATCATAACAGCACCTCCCTTTGTGCCAGATCTGGTGACTTATTGCATGCTGCTGGGTCCTCTTCCCTTTATCCGAGGTGCCGTCCAGATATGTTGGGTTTCCATTTCAGCAGTTCCAGGCTTGTTTGGCACCTTCACTAGCCTCCCGATGCTACACGCACAAGTGTCCTGTTCTTAAAGCTCTAAACTGTAAGCGTCTGCTTTGGGTACGATTCCTCCTACTCCGAATCCAGACCTTGTCAGGATGACTGCATGAGGCCTGTGAGTCGTTTTCCTGTCAGCGATTTTCCCTGGATACAGAGGGACAGGAAGAGAGAGACACAGGGCCATATAAACTATTTGACACAGATTCCCACTGTTTGTTTTTTTTGTTTTTATGTATCAGACATGAGGTGATGACGATAGATCGTCTCGACAAAATGGAAGTAAACAAAAAGTTTTGATGCAAGGTAAAAGGAATAATTATACTGTGAACTAATTTAATGAAAAACAGAATCGATTGTTGCAAAAATATTTAGATTTATTATATCACTATAAACACTTAAATTGAAAGAAATAATCCCTTTATTTATAATTACTAAATCAAAACGTCTTCAGGTAAAAATCCATTGTGTTGCCTCCTTTGTTTTAAATATCAGCAAATATGATAAATGCATTTATCTGCTGAATGTTTTACTATGGAACATCAAAACCCTCCTCCATTATAGTTTACACATAAATACATCATCTACCTCTCACTGAAAGCTACAGCAGCAGTGGACAGTTCAACTTGTTGTGGTTTGTTTTTAATTTTCAGGAGAGGCAATAAGACTCTTACCACACTGCGAGTGAACTTCTCCAGGGAGGTGCGTCGTCCCTGCTCCGTTTCAGGCTACCGGGTCATAGGAAGCAGGAAAAGAAAATAATCTGTGAAGTTATACTTTTCATTTAATAAAGCCAAAAACTCACCAGGTAATTAAAATTGTAAAATGAAAACCAAAAACATATATGATGCGTCAGTTTTAAATATCTAGTGGGTGAGAATGTTGCTCAAGCTCAGAGCGGATGGAGCATCTATACGATTGTCATGTGAGGCTGTTGCACTTTACACATGGACCTAAACCAATCCAGTTCCGGCTGCTCCTTTTACATCTCTTTAGAATGTCTTCTTTCATTATTTCCTTGTATGTGGCTATATTTTGCTTCCCTGTACTTGCTGAAGAAAAATATCCCAAATGCTGCCGTCACCATTTTTTCCTTTAATGGGGATGGTTTGTCTAAAACTTCTAAGGTCTACACAGAAGTGAAAATAAATAATTACTAATTAGGTGATGTCTGACAGCATTCAGCTGCACTGGATTTTAGGTGTCGGGATAAAGGAGGCTAATGCAAATGAATTGTGGTGTGGATGTAATACGACAAATGTTTGCAAGGCGCTGCAAGCTAAACAAATGAGCCGTGCACAGATGACAAACACTCACTTTCTTCCTTGCCATTAGCAGATCCTGGTAGACATTGGAGCGGAGGAAACGTGGATAGCTGTCGCTTTTCATCAGTTTATAAATGTGGTCCTAAAAAAAAAAAAAAAAAAAAAAAAAAAAAAGGAAAAAAAAAAAAAAAAAAAATATTTTTACCAAAAACTCTGGGGGGGGAAAAACACC